AAAACTCTACCACAGCTTTCAGTTCATAGAACTTTTAGGTGTCATTACAAATGACTGTCGAACATACTTTTCTGAATCAGAAAAACATCAGAATTTTAACATTTTAAAAAAGCAGAGTTATTATTTTAAAACAAACATGATAACCCAGGGATGGTTATCAATGCAGTTTGCAGTGCCACACTATTACTCTTTAGTACAATAAGTAAAAGCATCATTTAAAAATAATCAAAGTCATGGGGTATGGTGCTGCCAGCAGGTCAATCTGTACCTGTGAGGTGAGTGTATCAGCAGCCTGATGGCACCGTCAGACTTTCAGACACCCCAAAATTGCTGCTGTGCCTTTGTCCAGACCCCAAAAACTTGGGGCAAAGTTTACCAAGAAAGTAAACGGCCAAATATTAGGTATGTGGGAGACACACCCACAAACCACCTCCAGCTCAGATATATAATTGGAGGCATGGCCTCTTTGGTTCCTGATCCAACTGCTTAATGGCCATGATCTCAGAGACTTAGAAACGAATATCGGAATCCAAAGGCTTTTGGCAGAAATGCATCCTGTTCCTGCAGTAGGTTACTGGTGCTGGGCCACTCCAGGTGGGAATAGGTTTCGTGCCTTGGCCTGTTCCCCTTGGCGGTCCAGTGACCACCATCCTCCAGAGGCCACTGGAAAGTCAGGTTTGGGCATGCAGTGACAAGATACATGGGGCCTCACCAGATGGGGGTGGAAAGGGCCCTTTCCTCCCCATCCCAACGAGACCCCAAGTCACCGCCTAAAAATGGCTCCTGATCAATCTGGCTCCTGATCAATCAGATTAACGGCCATGTTCCCAGAGACTCAGAAACAAATCTCGAAACCCAGCGGCTTTTGGCAGAAATGCATCTGGACCACATAAAACGTGGCTGCTGCCTCAGAGCTTATTGCTCCAGGACAAAAGGACTTGCCCCCCCACATGTGGCTCTCCTGCACGGCATGGCTCCAGAGGCAAGGACTTAATCCAGAGCCCAGCAGCTTGCGTCAGAGAAGTAAATGGACCATGTGTTAAACTACAGTGCCATGCCTTCCCAGGAGGGAAAGAGTGTTGCTCCCTTCCACCTTTTTCTCCCTTGATAGCAAGGTGGCTGCCACCTCAGAGCTTATTGGAAAGCCAGGTATGAGCCAGTGGTGATGGGGCAACTGTAGTCTTATGGGAAGGGGGATGGTACTGACTCGTCCTTCACGCCCTACCGAGGTCATGGAGTTGCCCTCCACGTGTGGCTCTCTGGCTCAGCCATGGCTCCAGAGGCAAAAGGACTTAATCCAGAGCCGGGCAGCTTGCGGCAGAAAAGTGAATGGATCATACATTAAACTACAGCGCCATGCTTCCCTGGGAGGGAAAGTGTGTCGCTCCCTTCCGCCTTTTTCCCCCCTAGCAGCAAGGTGGCTAACACCTCAGAGCTTATTGCAAAGCCAGGTACAAGCAGGCGGTGACAGGGCAACTGCAGTCTCATGGGAAGGGGGGGCGGTACCAGCTCATCCTTCACGCCCCACTGAGGTCACGAGTTGCCCCCCAGAAGCAGCTCTCAGCCACAGCCATAACACCAGATGCACAGAAACCAATTATCAGGCTCTTTGCAGAAATCCAAAATTGCAAGCCTGCTATTGCAGCCACACAAGATTATATGATTCTCATAACCAGCTATAGAAAACAAAGTATTTCAAAATGCATCAGCAATTCTGATTGTTGGGGGGAAATTCTAAACAATAATGGTGCATCTTTTGTTGAAATAATGAATGTAATCAATGTAGAGAAGAGTTAAGTGGAAATCATCTGCCTCACAGGCATTGGGAGGGGTGGGAGGGGGGTATATTGGGGTTCTTGGTGGTGAAAAATGAGTACTGGTGAAGGGAGAGGTGTTTGATCATTGTATGACCGAGACTTAAACCTGAAAGTTTAGTAACTTTTCACACAGTGATTCAATAAATATAAGAAGAAAAATAAATAAATAAATAAAATTATGGAAAAAAAAGTAAGATGGAGTTCATGTCCAATTCAATCAGCTAATCATTGGCTGAATAAATAGCAGTACTCCTACATAAAAAAAAGAAATAAATAAAAATAATCAAAGTCTGAGTGCCCAAGAACAGATGACTGGTTAAAAAAACTTTGGTACATCTACACAATGGAGTACTATGTAGCTCTTAGAAAATATGAGGCCCTCCTGTTGATTGTTGATTTGCTCGAGTGGGCCCAGTAACGTCTCCATTGGAGACTTTGTTGTTACTGTGTCTGGCATATCGAATACTCTTGGTAGCTTGCCGGGCTCTCAAATTTACACACAAGTGGTACAATATGGAAAGTATCATGCTAAGCGAAATGAGTCAGAAAGAGAGGGATAGACATAGAAAGATTACATTCATCTGGGGGATATAAAGTAACAAAATATGAGATTAATACCCAATAGCTGAGATCAGCACCAGGAGGATTACTCCATAGCTTAGAGGCCAGCCGGGCATTCTAGGGGAAAGGGCAGCTCAGATAGAGAAGGGAGCACCAAATAAAGGGTGTTTGGAGGATCCTCCCAGGAGGGGAGATGCATGTTGAAAATTTAAAGTAGACTATGGACTGAACATGTTTGACACTCAATGCCTCTTTTGCAGACCACAACATCCAAAAGGAGAGAGAGAACAAAAGGGAATGACCTGCCACAGAGGCAGGGTGGGATGGGGGGATGGGGGTGGGGGGATATTATCCATGGTGGTGGAAAATGGGCACTGGTGTAGGGATGGGTATTTGATCATTGTATAATCGAAACCCAAGCACAAAAATTTGTAAATCTACAAATGTACCTCATGGTGTTTCACTAATAAAAAAAAAAAGAACACAAGACTAAAATAAAGTATTAAATTTCAAAAAAAATCAAAGTCATCATTATTAAGGTAAAGGCATACCATGGAATTGCTCAAAGGAGTCTGAAAATATTGCACTTTTTCTTCATAAATTCCTTAAATAATTCCTAATCTTCTGTTTTCAGAAACACTACTGGTAAATCTCTGAACAATGGAACAAAGGTAAACTTTACACAACAGTCTGACTTAAATTTTCCAAAAGTCCTAACTAAAATATGACTCAATGAGGATCTTCCTATATTGTGAACTGCAGAGGTAAAACTAAAAGAAAGCATCTGAAGAAACTTCAGTTTTAACTTGGATATCCCCTCTTTTTCACATGGCTCAGAGAAATGCCTAACCTCATTCCTCAAAAAAATCAGTTGAGGCTTCAGGTGTTCATGCCCCTGAATTGAAAAGAGGCAGATAATGCAGTAAGGGAGTAGAATGACACTTTAGAGTTATTAGACTAGCAACGGCTTTTAATAAGCTGATAACAACAGGGTAGGAAGTGGTTATTGTATTCGCACAATCTGAGTACTTAACCACTTTGTAATAACTAATCAAGTAAAAGAAGGAAAAGAAAAAGGAGACCCTGAAGTTACCTAAGGGAGACAGAATTCTGGAGTGATGACCTCTTTTAATTTTCTAACTCTATGACCCTGGACTCATTATCTTTAAGACTTATTGTATAAAAGGGAAGAACACACCTTGACTGAAATAAGAAAAATGAGATTAAAATGGCACTAACAGTAAGGACTTTAAACGTAGTAATAATTTTAATACTAGTAAAACTACATAGTACAAGTACTAGGCCTGATCTTCAAGTCTTACCTATTCTTAGTGCTACTCTAGTGAGATTTCATAGTTAAGGCAATTCAAATAATAGTGTTGTTGTTGAAATGTTAGACACAATTTAAATGCTTTTCAAACTGTTTGAATTTTCACAGTGACCAGTGAGGAAGCAATAATAATAGTAATAATAATAATAATAATAAACTGTTGTTATTTAATAAATTATATCAATGTGCTTTTTTGGTGTGTGATGCCAGCAACCAAATCCGGGACCTCATACATCACAGTCAGTACTCAGTCACTGAGCTACATCCCTGGAACTTATTTAATCTTTTTCTAAGTGAATTTTTAAAAAAAATCTGAGGTGAATCAAAACTAATGCCACATAGGGGCTGGAGTGCAGCGGGTAGGGCATTTGCCTTGCACGCGGCCAACCCAGGTTTGATTCCCAGCATCCTATATGGTCCCCTGAGCATTTCCAGGAGTAATTCCAGAGTGTGTGAGCCAGGAGTAACCCCTGTGTATCGGCAGGTGTGACCCAAAAAGCAAAAACAAAACAACAACAACAATAACAAAAATCTAATGCCACAAATATGCAAAACTTAGCGCTACCATAAGTTACCTTCCTGGCCCTTATATTATTTAATCTTATAATTGAGAAACCTGAAAAGGTAATGCCAACATTTGGACTCAGGGCATCCGAAGAGGTATGAGTCCTCTCTGGAAACCCCTACTCTGTTGTGAATCCTATTTTTATTTGCTTCCAATGACGTCTGTGATGCTCAAGTAGAGCCGCCAGGCTGGGGTTTACCCTTGAAGCAGTATTACTCTGCACGTTCAAGCTGCTGTCCAGAGGTACATGTGACACTGTCATTTCTTTCTTTATAAATTGGACCTTCTTGGGTAGTAGAATGTTGTTGCTCATTATAAAAATTTAGTGGACAGACAATAAAAGCAAATGAAGGTCTCTTTCTGGACTCTGAAGTTAGCTCCACCCAGGTGCTCAGCAATTCCCATCTATAAGATCAACATCTACCAACTGCTCAGTCTCAGGAATTAACTGGGGCAGAGCAGTCAGTTTCCAGTTAGAATTGCTCACATCCCATCTTCGACATATTCATTCATTCACATATTTACCACTCACCTCTAAACCCCAACCAGATCCTGGTTTACTCTTTAATGCAAGGTAACAGACAAACCTGGGAAAAGCAAGAACCTGACAACCTTCCCAGGGGAAGAAAAGGACCATCTGCCTCGACTTGCTCCTCAGTCTGGGGTGGAGGAGTGAAGCATCACTTCAAATGCAAAGAGCATGTCGGAGTGAGTGCAGTGCTCTTACCCTTGCGGTGAAGTCCACAGCAGCCGCTCGGTTTAACAGCAACGTGGCTACATTGATATTTCCATAATGAGCAGCTATGTGGAGCGGAGTGAAGCCACTCTGTAAAGAAAACATGGCAGACATTCAATTGTTTCCTACTTGCTCCTCGCTGAACATGCTAATATCACCATCTTGCCGAAATAAAAATGAGGAAGCAAAATATGCTGAGGTTCACATTCCATTCTGACTAGGTTTCTTTCAATTAGTGCCAATTGCTTATGGGGTTTCGCATAAATTCCAGGAATAGCCAGGGGGGGAAACTGAGGGCGTGGAGACTGGGTAATTTTGGTCATCCAGAAGCAAAACTGTACAGAAGCCGACACAACAAGTTGAAAGAGAGATGGCAAGAAAAATATTTATAGTTTACTGAAGTCCTGATTTGTGTCACTAGTTTATTACTGATGACAGAATTGTCCATTGAAACTACTGACGCTCAATTTATTTTACATATCTAATAAGGAGTGAAATTAATAGTTAAATCCAATCCTAATTTTAAAAAAAGCAATTTCGGGGAACAGGCACTACTACAGTTTTATACAGTGGTTGATTCATTCCATAAAGAGACACCAAATTGGTCTCTGTATTAGTAAAGGCCTACTCAGTAGCATTTTTTAGGATTATTCACATCAAGGTCATTTTACTTCCATAAAACATGTGTTAAGACATGCAGCAGTTCACTTAGTCCCAAAAGATTAAAACCTTATAAGAACTGGATGAATCTCTAAGTTGTTAGCAAGCTTCTGAGCCATGCTAAGCTATTTTACTAACTCTTGTGGAGGGTGGGTTGTGCTGGTATTGTTCTGGGGTACTGTCCATTTTGCTGACACCACTGAGGGCAAGTGTCATGCAGAACTTGAAGGGATCGGCCCTAGATGAGTAGAATGACAGGGTCTTCTGCAGCTTTAGGTGTGGCTGATGAGACTCTCAAGTGTCAAACTGTCCATCTCATTCAACAACTCCATGATAACACCCTTCAGTTTCCAGGATTCCTCCTTCCTTTCAAACACCAGCATCAGCTGCAGAAAGCCCTGGTAGTCAAACTACTTTCTTCTCTGGCACATGCTACTTTGGGGGTGGAAGGTAAAAAGCAGGTATCTAGCCTACAGAAGGCAATGCAAAGACGAGGAAAAGAAATGAGGCAGCAGCACTAAATAATGGGACAATGATGATGCAGATATAGATTCTATGTATATTTATATATATATGTATATATATACCTCTGTTGTTCTATTCACCACCATCTAGGTTAACACAGTTGGAAGCAAAGAGGAGGAAAAAATGAACGGTTAGTTTGCTATCAGTGATATGATCTGCAGAAAGCTCATGATTGCTACATAATGGGGTAAAGGATCGGATGGAAGCACATCAGGCACAGACAGAAAGCTAGACTGAATGAAGGGCTACACAATGGCCTACTCCAAATGCCACCTCTCCTTCACAGAGATGCTCAAGTAGCACATGGCATGACATGGGGGATACTGGGTTGAGATGCTGGCTGCTGGCTGCTGGCATGCTTTCCTCAGCTGATCAATACTCAGTGCATTGCCTGTCCGCTTAGGTATCAACAAAATGTTTGTGTACATTGGTCACCAGGAGTTTTTCATTTTTAACCCTAACATCTGAGCTGAAGTGGTTTAAAAAAGAGGAAACTCGGGTGGACATAAATCCATCTCTTTTAGTTGGCATCTATGTTAGCATGCACGGACGACACCCCTAGTTTCCTGCTCCTAGCATGAGATGCTAGGATGCGCCTGGCTGACTTCATTTCATTTGGTCCGTGAAGGTTAAGGGGTTGACCAGGCATGTTTGAAGTTTGGGTTCCTGACGTATGATAACTAGCACACCAGACTGGCCTCCTTGGGCCTCACCTTTGATTCCACATCTGCATTGTTGTCGTTCTGCAGTAGCAGGGCGGCGGCTTTCGTGTCATCTTTCCGGGCAGCAATATGCAGAGCTGGAAGACGCACTTTGCCTTTAGTGTCATTTTCTAGCAGGAGTGAAACAACTTGATCATGACCTTGTTGCAAAGCAACTGCCAGAGGAGTGAAGCCATCCTGCAAATAAACGAAAGGGCCAGAATCAAGTCAGTGGCTCGCGGCTGTCTGATCCGAAGCATAAAGAAGAAGATGGCCGTGTGCCAATTTCTGCAGAGGGCTATGTTGGCAAAAAAAAAGATTCAAGTGGAGGAGATAAACGTGAAATGGTATGTACAAAAGACAAACACCACCAAGTCAGAGTCAACCAGAAATCTGTGATGTATGGTTTTTACGCCATTATAAAGTTACTTATTTTGAACTGGGCAAAATTTGAAAATAAACAACTATTGTGGAAGAAGAAAAGAATGGTGTTATTATTCATAAAATTGCATCACACAAATAAAAGCATTACAGTTTAAACATGGGCAACTTTTCCCAAAGAGCTTACTTGAATAGGATGCAAAAATTTAAAAGTGAAAAATAAACCTGAGGAACATGCCTGCGTGGTTAATTACTGTACCTGGTTACTGAGCACAGACTCTGTCATATATGCCTCGCTCAATCGGTATATGCGAGTGAATCACTGTCATTGCTGTTTTAAAAAAGATCCACAGGAAAGACTTTGGACTTCCCCGAAAAATTAAGAATCATAGGAGGTTTGCAAAATATGTCGTAACCTTAGACACATAAATAAATCTCTGTATTTTGAGTCTTCCCACTGTGTTGCTCTAGAACTTGACAGGCAAAAAGAAAACACAAATTTCACTTAATTTGTGGATGATTTAGCACTGCTAACTGTAGAATAAACATCACAAAGTAAAACATTCTGACTCACAAATTTTAATTCTTCAGTGTTTTCATTCCTATACACTGAATACTTAGGAGCTAGGGAAACAGTACAGAGGATATGGTGCTTGCCCTGATATGGCCAACCTGGGTTCAATCCCTGGAAGCAATGGTTCCACGAGCCCCACCAGGAGTGATCTGAGTGTAGATCCAGGAGTGAGCCTTAAGCCTTACACACCACTGGGCGTGGCTCCCAGGCAAACAACAACAACAACAACAAAAACACTACTTTCCCCAAATCACAGAGAATTTTTAAATTCACAGGGCCTGTACAAAAGGAAGCCGCTGTGTGCTGGATAACAAATGGCAACCGTGGCGATTAATGCTGACAGTAAAGTGCTTAGTGCATCAGCCAATTAAAGACATAAAGATACCAGCTCTAAGGTGTTGATAGCTAAAATTACAAGCTCCAGATTGTTTCCAATCCAAGTCTAAACACCTTGGTTTGCTTTGTGCAGCTATTCAGAAAGAGAAAAATACAAACCAAGATCATCAATATGGATCTGGCTGGTCTAGCAACTAGGGCAAAGGCCTAGCATGCAACGAAACATGATTCAATTCCTGGCACCATGCAATCCCCTGAGGATTTCCAGAGTGTAGCCCTGGAGGCCTCCAGCATTGCCGCGGTGACCTGGTACACTGGCACCACAGGTCCAAAACAGCATTGCATCCTTGGGCTTTTACAGTGAATCCCCAGCCAAGTTAGCTGAGAATCACTGGTGAGGTTCCCCAGACCTCTTGAGTACAATCTGGGAGCTTCCATCCCCCCACCAAAAAAACCCTCTTGCTGAATGATTACATTCTGGCACAGCAGGTGCTTAATAATTACTGGTGGAAGAAACAAATAATTTCATCCTCTAGTTCAGACTCAAAAGGAAGAAAAATCTCTGTGAAAAACATACAATTGGAAATGCACATTAAGAAAAGATTTCAGAAACTACAGTATCACTAGACTTTATTTATATAAACAAAATGCATATGAAAATATATTTACTGCAGGAACATGACAGTATTATATCATTTAATAAAATATAAATCCTATTAAAGGTTTCCATGTAAATGGTCCTTAAGTTGTCCCCTACTCTGTACTATTTACTATTTTCTAACTACATTTTGTGTTGTTTCAGGGCCACACCTGAATACTCAGGGGTTACTCCTGTCTCTGTGCTCGGGAATCAATCCTACCATGCTCAGGGGACCATGTGGGATGCTAGGAATCCAACCCACATCGGCCGCGTACAAGGCAAGTTCCCTATCTGCTGTACTATAACTCTGGTCCTGTTACTGCATTTGTGAATTAAAAACATCAGTACCACTGTTAGTAAAAACAGTCCCAAAGAAGATTTTATGAATAAAACACCTTAGTTCTTGATATATTTTCATTTCTTTTCATTTTTCTTTTCATTGTAATATGGATATTACAAAAGGAGAAAATGATGCAAATATTCAAACATTTCTAGGAAATGAGATAACTTTTCTTTGTAAAGTGATGATCATAACCTTAAACAAAGACACGAGTGTAACTTGGTACTAGATAAAACATTTACATATTGCTTTTACAGTCATAAAAATGCTAAAATATTGAAACAAGCAAAATATTTTTATATACTCTTTGTTGAAAGACTATCTTAGTAGTTTGAGGATCTGATATACCATATTTAATTTAGTTGTAGATCCTGGTATCAGATCTTGAAAGCCAAAAAAATACCAGAGAGGCCAGAGTGACAGTATCGCAGACAGGTCACGAGTCAACCCAGGTTTGGTTCTTGGTACCTTTTTTGGCCCCTGAGCCCCAGCAGGAATGACTCCTGATCACTGCTGGGTGTGACTCAAGAGCCAAAACACAAAATGAAGATACAAATAACTCTTCTATTCAAAACTGCAAAAAATTTTACATAGTACTTTAAAATGTATACTAACTTTATTTAGGCATATGAATTATCTAATTTGCTAACTTTAGAAAAACACTCATTAAGGTTCCTTAAATTTATAGATAAACATTTAAAATAACAACCACAGATTAAGCATTAAGTATTAATCTCAGATTTCACAATGATTGCCTTTGACATAAAATTATAAGGAAAAGGAAATCTGATGCAAATAAGTATTAAATAGTTCAATCATGGGGTAGAATCAGGCATTCAAAAATAGAAATGCAATGGAAGATTAGCACAGCGGTAGGGCGCTTGCCTTGTGCGTGGCCTGCCCGGCTGAGCTGGGTTCAATTCCTCCGCCCCTCTCAGAGAGCCCGGCAAGCTATTAAGAGTATCCTCCCCGCACGGCAGAGCCTGGCAAGCTCCCGGTGGTGTATTCGATATGCCAAACACGGTAACAACAAGTCTCACAATGGAGACGTTACTGGGCCCGCTCGAGCAAATCAATGAACAACGGGAAGACAATGATACAGTGCTAATATTTTAAATATATTTCATAAAAACTTAGGAACATACTAAATTAATATTTAGCAAAATTGACTTATCAGTGGGAAAATTTTTCAGTTTATAAGTCCAGGTTTATAAAATTCTCTATAAATGCAAACTTACACAAAGAATAAAACAGAGTGTCTTACCTCAGTGGCTAAACTTTGGCTTGCACCATTGTCAAGAAGAAACTTAACCACCTCCAGGTGGTTTTCCTGGGCTGCCATATATAATGGTGTGAACCCATTCTGAAAAACAATAAATAAAACATTTAGATATTTCTAGAGACGTTTATTTTTCCACAAGATAAATAGACTTTTTTCCCACAAGGTAAATAGAATTTAATAATTTATATTATTAAATAAATAAATCTATTTGTCCATAACATTAACATCATTTAAGAACTGCTCATATATTTCTATTCCATTAGTACATAAATGAAGACATTTGTTATAAAAACCAAGGTACTATAGTTTGAGAATTTATAATATAATCCACAACTGTATTTCATAATTCAGATCAAGTACAGTTCAAATTAAGTCTTCTTCAAAGTATAATGCATACCAACATACCCATTCATTTTAGACAAGTAGACTCATTTAAACACCAACCAGCTACTGAGCAGTTGTCCTGAGAAAAATATTCTCCTTAATGTTACAAGGGCACGAAGAAAAAAATATACTTGGCCATTGCAGCTTTCGGTCATTAATTAGCTATTTTAAATTAAGTAAGCAATGCTCATACATAAAATTTTGCATCTGAGTGTTTTCTATTATGGAAGGAATCTACATCAATTACACACAGTTTTAAACTTACTACAGGTTGGATAATAGAGCAAAGAAAACCAGTTTATAAAACTGCATATTTAAATTCAAAGTTGAATTCAATTATTCCTCTCCTTTTGTTGAGTCTATGTATTTTTTCCAACATGTGGTTTTACTTTTTTGGTTTTTGTTCTTCACCTGGTGGTGTTTAGGGACCACATCTGGTTCTCTGCTAGGGGGTCATATTGTGCTGGGATCTGAACCAGAGTTGTGGTTATAACTGCATGTTAGGCAAGTGCCTGATTTAACCTTTGACATCTCTCCTGCCCAAGACATGTTTTTAAAAGTTCAGAATACACACCCACACACATACACACACATGTACACATGCATATATACAGACACACATATATACAAACATGTGCATGGCTTCCTGATACATGCGCAAACTGCCCAAGTACTTGGATTAAAATAAGTGAATGTGTGGGGCTGGAGCAATAGCACAGCGGGGAGGGCGTTTGCCACGCACACGGCCGACCCGGGTTCGATTCCCAGCATCCCATAGGGTCCCCTGAGCACCGCCAGGGGTTATTCCTGAGCGCAGAGCCAGGAGTAACCCCTGTGCATCTCCAGGTGTGACCCAAAAAGCAAAAAAAAAAAAAAGTGAATGTATATATTTTACGTTATTACAAATATTTCGCCTCTGTTTATTTTCTAAAGCAATATATTTCATATCAGTGAAATTCTGTGTTTCAAAATCTTATTGCTGGACTCGAGCAATAGTACAAGAGGTAGGGCATTTGCCTTGCACATGGCTGACCCAGGTTCGATACCCGGCATTTCATTTGGTTTCCTAAGCACTTTCAGGAGTAATTCCTGAGTGTAGAGCCAGGAGTAACCCTGAGCATCACTGGGTGTGACCCCAAAAGAAAAAAAAAATCTTATTGCTGAATTCAAATAACACAAATACAATTTTTTTCCTATTAAGACCCATAGGAAAGCACAAGAATACACACACACAAACACACAACATAGCTGTGATTCAGGGGATTTAATTAAAAATATCCTTTGGAAAGAGAAAATCAACATGTTATCATTACTCTCATGAGAAGATGTTTAAGGCACAAGCGTACACTGTCATTCAACAACCAACCGCTATATTAATTTTCTATGAAAAAGCACTTGAATTGGGGAGTAAAATACTATACTGTAAACATGTACACTGCTATTTTATTAAAAATACCCTAACAGGAAATTTCCAAAGCAAAGAGCTGACCAAAAAGGAACACATGGATGCCCAATTCGCATTTTTTAATAGAAATAATAGAATTCATTTTCAAAAGAGAGACCGAGAACAAACCTGCTATTTAATGTCTGATTTCAACTAAGACGTTTAGTACCTTCTGCTTTGAGCATTTTTGTGATGTTATAAGCAAGAAAATGGGCCGAATTATATCTTGTGGATTGCATACAGACACACATACACACTGACTTACATTCATCAAAATAAAATAAAATTAGAAAATCCTCTTGTGATGCCATTTAGGTAAGGACTTAAATTTCAAATCATACCCTTTCTGATTTGACCTCAGTTCTGAAAGTCAGCCTTTGTACATCATAAAATTTGACTTTTAATTAAAATGTTAAGATATAGTGATAGGTTTGCAATGATTGACACATGATAATATTTTTGGGGGGGGCGGCACATTCAGTGGTCCTCAGGGACTATTCCTGAATTGACACTTAGAGATCACTCCTGACAAGGCTTGAGGGATATAATATAGTGTGCCAGGGATAGACCCTGGGTTAGATGCCTGTAAGACAAGCACCTTACATGCTGTACTATCTCTCCAACTCCAACAGTTTATTTTTGTTTGTATTGTTTTGCTGTGCTGTTTCTGGGCCACAACTGGTGATGCTCAATGTCAGTTTTAGTTTTAATGTTACATTGAAGTAGCCATGCAACTTTCTCAATACTATGACTTGTTGGGTTTTATTAAACATTGCCTATAGTTTAAAGGGCTGGAGTGATAGCACAGCAGGTAGGTCATTTGCCTCGCAAGCGGCCAACATGGCCAACATTTCCTCCGCCCCTCTCGGAGAGCCTGGCAATCTACCAGAGAGTATCTGGCCAGCACTGAAAAGCCTGCAAGCTACCTGTGACTATGTCCGATATGCCAAACACAGTAACAACTGTCACAATGGAAACGTTACTGGACAATGGGAGGACAGTGACAGTGTGACAGTGATAGTTTAAATTTTTTTTTCAAACTTTATTGAATCACCGTGAGATAGTTACAAGCTTTCATGTTTGGGTTACAATCACTCAGTGATCAAACACCCGTCCCTCCACCAGTGAACATTCCCTACCACCAATATCCCCGGTATAACCCCCCCTTCCCCACCCTCCCCCTGCCTCCATGGCAGACAATAGTCCCCATACTCTCTCTCTACTTTTGGGCATTATGGTTTGCAGTACAGACCCTGAAAGGTCATCCTGTTTGGTCCTTTATCTACTTTCTGCACACATCTCCCTCCCATCCCGACCAATTCTTCCAGCCATCATTTTCTTAGTGATCCCTTCTCTATTCCAGCTGCCTTCTCCCCTTCTCCTCTCCCCATGAGGCAGGCTTCCATCTACAGAGCAATTTGCCTATCCCATGTCTCTACTATTCTTAGGTGTCAGCCTCATATTATGTTGTTTTATACTCCACAAATTAGTAAGTCCTTCTATGTCTGTCCCTCTCTTCCTGATTCATTTCATTTAGCATGATATTCTCCATGTCTATGCATTTATAAACAAAGTTCATGACTTCATCTCTCCTGACAGTTGTATAGTATTCCATTGTGTAGATGTACCACAGTTTCCTTAACCAGTCACTTGGGTTGTTTCCAGATTTGGGCTATTGTGAACAGTCCTGCAATGAACATACAGGTACAGATGTCATTTCTACTGTGATTTTTTGCATCCTCGGGATATATTCCGAGAAGTGGTATTGCGGGGTCATATGGAAGCTCAATTTCTTGTTTTTGAAGGACTGTTCATATTGTTTTCCAGAAAGGCTGGACTAGTGGGCATTCCCACCAACAGTGAAAGATGACTCCATAGAGCAAAATGTAGGCAGAACTCTCCATAACATTGAAGCTAAAAGCATCTCTAAGGATGAAACAGCAATGACCATGCAAGTGGACGCAAACATAAACAAATGGGACTACATCAAACTAAGAAGCATCTGCACTTCAAAAGAAACCAGACCAAAATACTGAAAGACCACTCAGAATGGGAAAGAATATTTACCCAATACCCATCTGATAATGAATTAATATCCAGGATATATAAGACACTAGTAGAATTGTACAAGAAAAAAACTCCAACCCTATCAAAAAATGGGGAGAAAAAATGAACAGAAGTTTCCTCAAAAAAGAAATACAAATGGCCAAAAGGCACATGAAAAAAATGCTCCACATAGCTAGCAAATCAAAACAACAATGAGACATCATCTCACACCACAGATACTAGCACACATTCAAAAGAACAAAAGCAACCAGTGCTGGCGTTGGAGGTGGGGGAAAAGGGACACTCTATAGTTTAAAATTTTACTGAGACAAGGTTAGTGTCTTCACTATTAATATTTCTGTGATGTTTTATATGTTGCAACCCAAGTAGAACAATTTATTACTTGTTGCTGTTTATGAAAGTTTGTATTGAGGGTTGGGGATATAGCTCAAGGCAGAACACAAGTCCTGAGTGTATAACATTCTGGGTTCAATCTCTGATACCATTCACATAACAAAGGTTTGCATTTCTATGTCACTACCAGGAGTTATATTGAAAACTCTTTCCTGTACATGGTCATCTCATGAACTCATTCCTTGTTCTGTCCATGGTATGATACAGTTCACTAAACCTACAGAGGAGCAGGTGTTCAAATGAAGGGGGATTTGTTTACTGAGAACCGCAGAGCTGGGCAGTACAAGAGCAGATGCAAGAAACATGGAATTCCCCGGCCTATGTTCTCTCTCACTTCATCATCAGTAGGGAATGTGCAGCAACTGAAATGAAATCTGGTTAGGATTTGATTTCAACTGCAGCGTCTCACAGACATTGCAGTGGAGGTTTAAAAGTATGCTGCTTTTAAATTCTCACAGTACAGCGGGTAGGACATTTGCCTTGCACGTGGCCAACCTGAGCTCGATTCCTCTGTCCCTCTCAGAGAGCCTGGCAAGCTACCAAGAATATCTCACCCACCCGGCAGAGCCTGGCAAGCTCCCCATGGCGTATTCTATATGCCAAAAACAGTAACAACAAGTCTCACAATGAAGACATTACTGGTGCCCGCTTGAGCAAATCAATGAACAATGGAAGGACAGTGCTATAGTGCTATAAGTGAGAACACGTACAGTGTTTAAAGGAAGGAGGCTTATTATTTTCTTCCTTGGTCTGGGGAGTGGAGATGAAATGAAATTGGAAATAAAAAGGAAATTAAACTGGATTAGAGTTTCCCCCATTACTTTAGAGCTTCATCTTGAGAGTGAAAAATGAAAAAACAAGTCCATAAAATGTAGATAGAAGTTAATGTGATTTAACAGTATGCATGTTATATCCCCATTCAGTTTGTATGAGTTGTACTCATGCAAACTCCTAAATAAAGAGTAAAATGAGTATGATTTCTGTGGAAGTATAATTTTTTTCAAACAGATTATACACTGGCTGGACACAGTGCACTTGAAGAATTAGCACCAAAAAGGACAACAGTCTTTCGGAAAGTACTAAGAATCAAAGTTTCACTTAATTTTTTTTCCTTTTAAATCCTTTGATTTTGAAATAATTTTTATTTGAAATTTCAATCAGGAAATCACCTTCACTCTCCATCTACTATTTGATTCAATGCTACCAGCAAGCCACATATCCTTACTTAAGCGATGCATGAAACAGTTCCCTAACATTACTTTCTTTGGCTTCGTAAAATTCTTCCTCTTGTTTTTTGCCAGTCCTGCAGTTCTATTACAGGCCTGTATAATATTTAACATCTGGGGGTAGTCACCAACAAAAGGGAAAGGCAAATGCAACTGGAAGGAATTTTTGAGTAGAAACTACTTTTTAAAATGGCCAAGTCCATAGTGTAGTACAAAGTTATGTACAGTAGAATAAGTTGTTTTTATAGCATTGTAACAAGTTTGATTTCCTAAACAACCACATTTTTGAGGGGACTCAATGAATAGTGAAGATCTAGGCTTTAACTTATATTTTCCATGTTTCAACTATGCTAAAAGTTATTCACATTTTTTGACGTCACATATTACTTTCATGAGTGTTTTATCTATAAGAAAATTTTATACGCACACATATAAGAATCGTACATCTCAACATGGAAAGTATTATGCTAAGCGAAATGAGTCAGAAAGAGAGGGATAGACATAGAAAGATTGCATTCATCTGGGGGATATAAAGTAACAAAATATGAGATTAATACCCAAGAATAGCTGAGATCAGCACCAGGAGGATTACTCCATAGCTTAGTGGCCAGTCGGGCATTCTAGAGGAAAGGGCAGCTCAGACAGAGAAGGGAACACCAAATAAAGGGTGTTTGGAGGACCCTCCCAGGAGGGGAGATGCATGTCGAAAGTGGACTATGGACTGAACATGTTTGACACTCAATGCCTCTTTTGCAGACCACAACACCCAAAAGGAGAGAGAGAACACAGGGGATTGCCCTGCCACAGAGGCAGGGGAGGATGGGGGAATGGGGTGGGGGGGATATTATCCATGGTGGTGGAAAATGGGCACTGGTGGAGGGATGGGTATCTGATCATTGTATAATCAAACCCAAGCACAAAAAATTGTAAATCTACAACTGTACCTCATGGTGTTTCACTAATAAAAAAAAATTAAAAAAAAAAGAATCGTACATCTATATAAAAATCTTGCTTGCATTAAATGTTGGTACTATCTTTGCAACTATAAATACACAGAGTCTGTACCCGAAGGCAGAGTCATCTCCAAAATAGGCTGCTGAAGGCTCCAAACCTCAGCATAGAACATGACGGGAATAGTCATTTAGCAAGTGTTTTATATCGTGTATTTTTATCTTCCACTCCAGGAAGTTACACTGGAGTAGAACAGATGAGAACATGCGTCGACGATTAATGGATGGCTAGATAACTTTTTACCTACACTTAGGACAAAGCAGAAGCAACAGTTCGTTTGTACCTATGAGCTACTTTTCCAGCAAAGTGGCCAAGTTCACACTTTAAGACACACCAGAAATCTGTCTTTATACCATCTTAGTTAAACATACCTGAAGGGCCTATACTTTAGCCAGCCAATAAAGTGTTGTATTTTTTCTCTGATTCAGAGTATAAAGGAAACATAAGCAAGCTCTGAGAATTTAGAGGAGAGTCTATTAAATAATAGTATACAGCAGATAGCCATGTTGACAACATGGAAATTTTAATGTTTTGGGACATTTAAAGTTTATTTTACTTCCTTTTTCTCTTTTAAATTGGTTTCACAAAATAAGAATTTGTGACTTAATTCACAGGAGTTAGTGACTTGACCTTTTAAAATAAGTAAAGTAAAAGTAAAGGCCCTCCCGTTGATCATCGATTTGCTTGAGCGGGCCCAGTAACGTCTCCATTGGAGACTTTGTTGTTACTGTGTCTGGCATATCGAATACTCTCGGTAGCTTGCTGGGCTCTTGGAGAGGGGCGGAGGAATCGAACTCGGGTTGGCCATGTTGGCTGCGTGCAAGGCAGACGCCCTACCCGCTGTGCTATCGCTCCATAAAGGGCTGATATATTCTGAACCTCGAAGAACATTTCCTCATTTATAGGTATCATCCTGTTTTCTATAGGTTAATAAATATGGAGAGTATTTTAAAATAGCGTTGACTTTGAATTATAGAGATCCCACAAATATTTGTGCCTGACTTCCAACAAACAGGTGGGTGGCTTTGAAAATGTTCTACTTCTTACACATAAAGATCAAAGCTATCCATACATAGGAACTGAATGACCCAAGGATGTAGAAATTAGAATAAAATTTCTTCGCAATAGACTTAAACATGTACCTGAGATTGTGCATTGACGTTGGCTCCATTTGTAACCAAGACCTTTACCACTTCAGCTTGTCCAGCCAAAGATGCAATATGTAGTGCTGTGTTTCCTTTCTAGAAAATGAAATCAAGATATCAGCTTACATAAGTTGCCCCCTCTCTTCAGATATTTTACAAAACATCAAATATCTCTATGACCCCAAAGATAACACAACTTTGGGAAGCAAGAGAAGCATGATGAGATTTTTGTGAGCACTGAATCCTACTTTGTAAGTAGGATTCATTAAAATAAAAAACCTAATTTGTAAGTAGTATTCATTAAAATAAAAAACCATTAAAAATACGACACTGACCTTTGTAGCTGCATCCACATTGGCTTCTCTCTGTAGAAGTTCAGACACAACTTCTACATGGCCTTCTTTGGAAGCAAGATGGAGTGCATTCAAGCCATTCTGATTAAAAGGAAAAACTTTACTCAGCAGGTTGAAAATAGAGCAGTAAACAGTCAACAAACAGCTTTAAAAATCACGTCAACATAACTTGCAGATAAGCAGTGTAAGAACTTGATTAGGCATAGAAGTACTTAAAATTTGGGTAGGTTGTTTTGATACCATAATTTTGGTAGACTTTAGGATGATTAGAGGACACAGACCACATACATTACTTCTCCAACAAAATAAAAAATAAGAAGATAAGACTTGAAATTCATTTTTTCAAAATGAAGCCCAGTCTCTTCAAACTACACGGTACATCTAACTTCGCTGCAATATTTGCACCCCATAAAATAAAATAGCAGCTTACTTTATTTATATGAAAACATTTTCTAATTTTTAAAAGGTTACATCACACCTATGGATTGGTACAGGAATACTTTTTAAGTATGATTACAGTCTCTTAAAGTTCTAGTTACTTTTCATTATTACAAAATATATTTCACGTAATAAATTATTCATTAGCATTAATTTAGATAAAAGACCTTTGTGAAAGAGAAAATCTTATTAATAGCTCATGAAAAGTTCAGTCTGGGTTTTAAAATGGTAATTTAAAAGATAACAATGCCAACAACAATAACCACAACTAACCTGATTGCAAATATTAATGTCAACTCCATTTTTTATGTAGTCAAGGGCTTTTTCTAGGTGTCCAGCTCGAGCTGCTCTTAAGTAACTTGCATTGGCATCAGACTGAAAAAACAAAAAAGAAAAATATACATCAACAATGAAACCAAATACTATCTGAAAGCTACTGGTTTTAAAAAGAAAGTAAGATGGAGAGTTTTAAATTGAACCATTTTATTTTATTACACAAACATAATAATAAAAAAAAGTCCTGGTAAAGTCAACAGGGATAAAAAGAAACACAGTCTTTAAAAGTAAGTTTCTTGGGTTAGGTCAGAGCAAACGCATTATATGACCCTGGTTTGATCTCTAGCACATTCACCGCCCTCCCCCGCCTCACACATATTTTCTCTCTCTCTCTCTCTTTCTCTCTCTCTCTCTCTCTCTCTCTCTCTGGTATCCTTTCTGTGATATCACAACTGATTTTAAACTGAAACAGAATTTCTAATATAGGTACACACTTTAAATCAACATACAATTTCCAGAGAACAAACAAAGAACTTCCTCGAGGCCACGCTGCCCAAATCTGATTATCTGTTTCATTTGTTTATATCTAACTTCCCAATAAGAGTTTCATAAATACACTGACTATTATTATACCAGCTGACAAGTTTTCCTGGAGTAGCAGCCCAAACCCCATCATTATTGGTAACAAACACAGTCAGGCAGGACATGGCTTCATGGAGGAAAGTGTTTTCGCCATTTGTGGAGTACCTCCTCTGAAGAACCCGTCACTCATTGCCTCATTCTAGAAAGCCTTCCCACGCCTGGCAGGCAATTTAACTGCTCACTGCTTCCCAAGCATTAATTTCATTGACCTTACTTGCCACTCAGTGGGAAATCATCCCCCTAACTATAATGCCTAGGTCATCCTCAGGGAAAAAACAGCTTAGGTCTTAGAATATAAACAGGCAAAGCAACAAAGCATAAAACAAAAACAGTTTTGAGTTTTGTAGATGTAGAGGGCAGCATGAGCAAAAACAGAATCAGGAACTGTCAGGATCAGTGCTCTTTGGCCCAGACCTGAATAATTCTTTGCAGTGGAGGATGGTTCTGGTTAGGGTCAATGGTTACTAGCATTTCTGGCAACAGTGCCCCTTGGAAGTGACAACCAAAAAATGTTTTCAGAATTGCCAAATGGTTGCTGGACAGAGGGGAAAAATCTCTCCAGCTGAGAATCAATACTTTACATAATGATTAAAATTTTGCCAGGAAACTTCCTCAGCAGCAGTAGTGGTTATTTAAATTAGGAGTACGGGGACCAGAGATAATACAATGGGTAAGACTTTAGCCTTGTATGTGGCCAACCTGGCACCACATATGGTCCCCTGGGCACCACCAGGAGTGGTCTATGAGCAGAACCAGGAGAAGTCCCTGAATACAGAACCAGGAATGATCCTGAGCACTGGTAGGTGGCCCGCCCCCACAAAAAAACAAACAGAAAAAATAGCATGTTATATTTAAAGCTGACATCTAAGATCATAAACTGAAACACTAAGTGAAACTCCTAAAATGCATGTGGGTATTGCTAAATTATGAACGGGATTTGAATGCAAGTCATTCAAATAAAGCAGTGGGCTAAGAGGAAGATGAACAATGTTCAAGAGAGAAAACCAACTGAACCTCATAGGAACTTAAATAAAACAACATTTATGAGGAAGCTGGCTGCTTTGCAAAGGCGAATTGTAAACTGTGATAGAAATAAGTGATGGGGGCCAGAGAAATAATACAATTGGTAGGGTGCTAGCCTAGTATGTGTCTGACCCTGGGTTTGATTCCCAACACCAAATGATCCCCTGAGTCTGCCATGAGTGATCTCTAAGCAGAACCAAGAGTAAGTCCTGAATACTATCCCCCCGTCCCATCAAAAAAATCAAATCAAATAAAAAGATTTAAAAAAATGAAATAAATGATCTATACAGCGATGGCTCATTGTACCATAAAATTGCATCTTCTTTGTGCCTGCTCAGCAACTATCAGTGAATCTTCCCATAAGGGCTTTGCTGCTGTTATGGGAACTAACGACATTAGCCTGTCTGGATATTCAGCTGCCAGAGATAACAGAGTTAAGCATCCCCAGTGCCCAAGTCTCAGTACAAAAGGAGAGCCGGTAAGGAGGGTGTAAAAGGTGCTACCATGCCAAGAAGGCCACTGAATGGATTCCAGATCTGGAGAGTTTTGCCGATTTCATATGCTCTGTCTAATTTTTCCCCCCTGAAACTCTAAATCAAAACAAAACACAAATGATGCAAGCCAACTCCTGTAGTTCAGTAGTTCTCTATTAACTTAGTATTTGATTCTCTTGAGACTGGCAATGATTATAAATAAACTTCTCTGGTTGCAATTAGATCCACATAAATCTGTGCACACATCAAATGTGCCAATGCATACATTAGCCAGTGTGTACAAGATGCCCAAACTATTCCATGTGGATTAGAACTGCTAAACCTGCTTTCATACAGATCTTTTAGAACAATTTCACTAATGGTAAAAAAAAAAAAAACAACAGTAGTTGTTGAATGCCTTCACTATTTATAATCCATTCAATATCTCTGAAGTAGTTAATACTTTACCAGAGAATACTATGAGAAAAGAGAAGGGATAAAAATATATTTTCTTCACTTTTCTCAGCCCTTTATGGCATACAGATATGTTCCAGACACCAATATCACAGTTCATCACTTGATACTCTAAAGGCAAAGTATGGAGGAGAAATATACAGAAATAAAAAATAAAAAAGGGAATGATTAGTTAGGGAAAAAGCTGACAACTTATGAGAAGTACTCCTTTTTACTCGCAACGACCTATAAGCACTGTGTACTTCCTTCCCTAAATATTTGTTGACTGTTGGTGACATGCTGCTTGTGCCTTTGCCCGTCTACAGATGAGTCAACGAAACAAACGTGGCACAAAGACTCCTTGCTGCCTTTCGGACCATTCCTGCCACTTTCCCTTTCTCAATTTGTGTTCCTAATATGACAGTGGAAATGATAAAGCCTTTATTAATTTTGTTTTCATCTTTCTGTTTTGGGCCTCAGCTGGTAGTACTCAGGGGCTATTAATGGCTCTGTGTTCAGGGATTACGCCTGGTGGCACTCAGGAGACCAAATGCGTATTAGGGATTAAAGTGGGTACAGCTGTGTGCAGAGACAGCGCCTTAACCCGTGTACTATTTCTCTGACTCTGTCTTTTCTTAAAAATTCTACTTGGAGTCCCTATAAGTTATTGTTCATTTTTCTAAGATTGAAAAAATAGCATTTTTGTTTGGGTTTGGTGTGTGTTGTCTTTTTCATTGGTTTTGGGTCATACACCAAGCTGCTGGAGACCAAACCCAGGATTCCTATATATAAAACGTGTACTCTAACCCTACAAGTTATTTTCCTAGCCCCAATGTGTGTCTCTGAACTGTCATTTTAACAATTAACTATGGTTACTCTTAACATTGGTTACAGCCTGTTTTTCTACTTTAAACACTCCATTAAAATGCTTCTTTAAGGGGCCTGAGAGATAGTACAGCGAGTAGGGTGCTCGTCTTGCACATGGTCTACTTGGGTTTGCTCTTTCGCATCCCACAAGGTCCCTGAGCATTGCCACAAGTAGTTCCTGAGTGTGGGGCCAGGAGTAACCCTTGAGCATCCTGGGTGCAGTCGAAAAATAAAGAGAAAAAATATTTTTGCTTCTTTAAAGGCAGTATTAGACACATGACAATGGCAGGAAATTAGGAGCCATATTAAGCTTGCCACATAGGAAGTCAAAGAAGTCATTGCCTAAGGAACCAGTTGCCCCCCCCCCCCAAATGTTGAACAACCAAGCAGGTTGTTCAACTTTTTTTTTACCCCTTGGTGATTCAAAAATCTGATGAAAGAATTTGGAAAATTGAAGTATCTTTCATCACCATCAATGCCTGGTCTACTTAGTCGTTTTACTAGACAGGAAAGAAATATAAGCCATGTGTGTTTTTCAAACAGCTTCAAGGAGAACTTAATATGGTTATGAATATAATAACAGCATTTCTACTTATACAGGAGTCCCAATAACTCTCAGAGGATATTTTCTACAACTCTAGTGGATGCCTGGAACCAGTTTGTGCCAAACTCTAAATAAACATACTAGGTTTTCTCATATATATATATTTTTTTTTCATTCCTACTTTGGACAAACTGGCAGGCTACCGAATGTAACCTGCCCACACGACAGAGTCTGGCAAACTCCCCGTGGTGTACCCAATATGTCAAATACCAGTAACAATGATGGGTCTCATTCTCCTAACTCTGAAAGAGCCTTGAATATGGCACTTTTTAAAAAATCTCAGGGCTAGGATGAAGGAGACGTTACTGGGGCCTGCTCGAGGAATCGACGAATATATATATATATATATATATATATAAAGCTTAATTTATAAACTATGAATAGCAAGAGATTACTAACAATAATAAGACTATTATAAAAATGAATTTGTTCTTTTTCTCAGGATATCTAATTGTTGGGCTGGGCCGATAGCACAGTGGGTAGGGCGTTTGCCTTGCACGCTGCTGACCTGGCCGACTTGGGTTTGATTCCTCCGTCCCTCTTGGAGAGCCTGGCAAGCTACGGAGAGTCTCTTGCCTGCACGGCAAAGCCTGGCAAGCTACCCATGATGTATTCGATATGCCAAACACAGTAACAACAAGTCTCACAATGGAGAGCTTTACTGGTGCCCGCTGAGCAAATCGATGAACAAAGGGAAGACAGTGCTACAGTGTATCTAATTGTTGGTACTATCTAAAGACTGTGGTTGCTTGTGGGCGACTGTAGTGATAGAAAGGGAAATGGGAAAAATAAGGACTAGTGTATAGTAAGTTCTAAGGCTGACATCACAGGTTCTTGGAAACTTCTACTTTATGCGAAACAATGTGAATTAGAATCAGTTTTACCATAGACTTACAGATAAAAGACATAAAGTTCTTACATTCCTGTTCATAAAAACACCAAACTTCTAAATAAAGACCCAAGCCCCATCATAGATAGAGGGATGAGTGAAAAAGGCATTTTTCCAAAAATGACATATGGGGAGACAACAGGCATTT